CTTGCAAGGCACCAAAGAGCACATGCTTACATATAGGAGATCCGACCAGCTAGAGGTCATTGGATTTTCATGCCGGGTGCGTCGATAGTAGGAAATCGACGTTTGGCTATCTATTCCTATTAGCTGGAGGAGCAGTATCATGGAAAAGTGAGAAGCAGTCTGTCATTGCTACTTCCACTATGGAGGCCGAATTTGTGGCATGCTATGAGGCCACAATTCATGCATTATGGCTGTGGAACTTTATCTCAGGACTTCAGATTGTCGACAGTATAGAGAAGCCGCTGAGAAGTTATTGTGATAATTCTGCAGCTGTCTTCTTTTCAAAGAATGACAAGTACTCAAAGGGTGCTAAGCACATGGAGTTAAAGTACTTGTCTGTCAAAGAAGAAGTACAGAAACGTAGAGTGTTCTTTGAGCACATAAGAACGGATATGATGGTTGCAGATCCATTAACGAAAGGATTACCACCCAAGGCGTTTATGGGTATTATAGATAAGACCTTGCTGTATTAATTATGGTTTGCTCATTATGTTTGTGACACTACGAATTCACTTAAAGTTATGTTTTTGTTTTATTAAATATGTTATCATTAAAGTATGTATATACACTTAAGGTTCATAGATAACATATGGTTAGGTTGAGAATTAAAATTCTTCTCAACATAAGTAAAGCTATCGATATAGAATTAGGATTGATTTGTGATACATGGAAGGAATCATGTCGTTCAATGACGTGTGAACGCCATGATTCGATCAGTTCTGATTTTATTATGATAGTTAAAAGTCAAGTGAACTTGCTATAAAAGCGTGCATTATAGTTATTAAACCATTAAGTCGACACAAAGGTCAAGTAGGAAAATGTAAGAATATTTATATTCTTATGTGACCTATGTGTCTTTCGGTTTGATTGTAAAGTTCAAGTTCATATTAAAGTTTAAGATTCTAATATAAAAGACGATATCATGATGGATCGGTTTCGATTAAAGACATTAGAATTTAGGTATATTGATAACCCTCCTCCTTTATCTTTATAAGTATTCTTCTTATGTGAATATATATATATATATATATATATATGAAAAAGTATATACATATATATCGTTAATAAAAGAACATAACTATATGAAAGTACGCTTTTTTGAATCTCTTAGAGCATCTCCAACCCAACCTCAAATCCTCAAATTTTGAGGTTTTTTCATTTCCAACCAACCTTCAAATCCTCAAAACACTTTTTACTTTTTTTTATAATCCTTGTAAATTTATACTTCTTAGAAATAGTTTCATGAACTTTTTATATTTTCATTTTGATCCATATTATTAAATAGTTCAATTATATAATTATAAATCTGATTATATCATATAAGTTGACTAAAAATAAATAAAAAATTAATAAAAAAAATATTATACAATATTTAAAATTAGTTTCACATAAAAATAATATTATATTGAAAAACTTAAACACCCCCTCTTTTGTCTGATGACAATCGGGAATACCTTGCTAGCGAAGTAAGCAAGAAAAGGGATGCCATTAGTCTTTAAAGTCACATTTACGAAAGTTTTAAATATTTTACTTATTAGTATTTTTAAATATTTTACTTATTAGTATTTCATGTAATATTTTGTTTAATGTATGTTTTTTATATATATTTATAAAAGTTTTTATCATTATTATTAATTATTATTTATATAGAGGACTGTAATGCAATTTTTAAGTTTTTTAAGGGTGGATTTGAGGTTTTACCATTGGAGCAAAACATCCTCAAATCTTTATTTTGAGGTTTTGTCACCTTTAAAATGAGGTTTTGGGTTGGAGATGCTCTTAAAAGAATACACTTTAGGTTTCAAAAATAGGGTAATTCTTCAAAAATAGAAAAAATGCTCTTTAAACAAACTAGTGCTTTAGTTTCCTAAACAATTTTTTTTATTAATATTCTCAGAAAAAATTTTGTCTTAACAATTTGAGACCCCAATTTAAATGAGCCTAGCGAGAAACAGATAGTTTTAAACATATTTTTATGAGGCAACTGTATGTGATCCCAATTCTTAAAAGGCATTTTAGAAAATATATATAACGTGATATATTTAGAGTATATTAGAGTATGTCAAACTGATTAAACTTAATCAAAGAGCTTACAAGTGTTTTTATACAACTTCACCTTAGCTTAACTTCCATTCTGACATATGCATTAGTAAAATACTCATAATACACATATCAATACATTTCTTGAGACTGAGCAAAAATAAGCAAAATGAAAGTAAAAACTAAGCAAACATAAGGAAAAAAGTGATAAAATATAAATGAATATTAATTAGTTAAAGAAGAAGAAATTGAACAGACAGATTCTATGAGCTTAATAGCATATAGAAATTGGTGTTGTAAGATCAAATTGCATATGGAAATTTTGTTTGTGTTGAATTTGATATTTTGACATGTTCGTGAAAACCCTAATTTCATTTTTGAAAAGGTATATATTACATATGAAACATAAGATAGTTATGTTTGATGTGATCATTTGATAATTATATTCTGAACAGAAATAGATAATCAATGTTATACTAACTACTTACCTCTCATTCTGTTGCTGAAGCTAGGCAAATAGGAGCACATGACATTTTCGATTTGTGATGATAAAGGCTAAGAAACAGTATCAACCGAGTCAACAACAACTACATGTAATCAATCCAGAGAAAATGTAAATAACAGCAACTAAATAAAATAAGATAATCCGGTAATGCCAGTTTTTTTTTTCTTTTCAATTCAGCATTAATGAAAACTTACAAAAACGAACTGATTTAGTTGGTTCAGAGCATAGAAAAATGTTACCTGAGCCCTGTCAATTTTCTTTTCCCAGCTGAATTGGCTACCCGAAAATGAAGCAACGCGATTAGCCAGAGTAGTACTATTTACTCGATCGAGGTACTCTACATCTCCGGTGCAGAGCCGCGCTTGACCACAGGCTGATCAAGCATTGACTTGAGGCCAGAAGATTCATAAATATATTTGGGGCTAATTTTAAATATTTTCATGTAAATTACTTTAATGTTTTCATTTATGAAATCTAATTTCCAGGATGATCTAGATTTAGTTTAATCCAACCACAAACAATTTCTTATAGAATAAGAAAAATTAACTTTGATCTATGCTTATTGGCCTTATGAAAATCTTCAATTTAATTTTCTCCTCCATTTAATCTTAAAATCCTTATGATTCCTTTTGATGGATAAAGGAATCAAAAACCTTCTTCTTCCTTTTGTTCTTTACTCAGAGTACAAAATTATTTGTGTGTGTCTTTTATTATATGTCTTAATTGTGATGTTTTTCATCACTTATAAACACACACGTACATGCCAACAGTCATGTATCTTCATGACACCTTTTCATATAGTCATGTATCTTGAAGCTCGACGATATTATTTTCTCTTAGAAAAAGGAGATTTCTTTTAGGTAATTTGCATAATTAACAATCTTAAATGGAAAATAAGAGTGACATATATCACTACTGTTTTACAAATCAGTTTATTATTTATTTGATGTGTCTATAAAAACCAAAAAGAAAAATGGTATCTGAATTTACATTAATCATAATCTAGATTCACACCAAAAATTCTTTAGCATTCAAAGTCCCTCATTATAAATTAAAAGGAAAAATTGCGAATGGTAACAAAAACATACTAGTCTGTTTTTTTATCATCCGCTCTGTCTAAAGATACTATTTAGACCTTTACTAAATTAATATACAAGATTGACTCCTTTATAACTATGTTCACACAGCTATTTACATGTATGCTATGATAAACTAACTATTTTTTTCAAAAGAAATTCACAATTTTGCCCTTGTAAACTCGTACAATGGCAATGCCCATGAGATATTACGGTCTGACAACCGAAACCAACTTATCTAATCATGTTGCTCATAGCTATCTAAAATATGGTAACAGTTCATAACTTAGAAAACTTTTAGACCATAAACTCAATTAATTAGTTAGAGTTCATTATTCATCTTATGACAGAGATCTCTAACTAATTAATTGAGTCTACCGTCTAACAGTTTGTTTAATAATATTTTTTATTTAAAATATCTCTAATTAACTGTGACATCATTGCATGCTAAGCATAGAATCTGACTGTTCAATCTTTTGTTCTTTAATTAATTATTTTTATTTATATTTTTGTCATTTTTTTTACTTATGTTTTGCTTAGTTTTTACTTTTATTTTGCTTATATTTTATTCAGTCTAAAAAAAGTATGGGATGTGTGTGATAATGAAAGTTTCTCATTTAGAGTTTCTCACTTCAAATATAAACATAATTTTAAGTATGAACACAATATATTAATATTTTACTGAAATATATTTTAGTTAAACCAATCAGATAATGCAAGTGTGAGAAGAGTTTCTCACAAGTTTCTCAAATGAGAAACTCTTATTCTTTTCTCTCTTCCTTTTCTTTAGTTTTATTAGTTTTTTTAACATGAGAAAGTCACATTAGTGATACTCTGAGTATTTTACTAATGCGTATATTAGGATGGAAGTTAAGCTAATGTAAAGTTATATACATAATAACACTGTATTTGTATTCATTTTCACTATTATTTTTTTATTCTTTTTCAAATATTTTAATTAATTTTAAATGATATTATCATGATTTTCTTATATTTATAATTTCAAAACTCTTTTCAGGAGCAAAAACAATGCAAACTGGAAAAAATTTTACTTTTTGTCAAGTTTCACATATGATGAAAACCTTTTTACCGTATAATCAATCTCAAATATAGACATAAGATAGAAGAGACAATCAGCTTTCTCATGCAATTGAATTGGACGCAATCCAACGATTAGGTCATACAATATATCTAATTTTCTGAAGACCCGTTCTATCTGTCCAATATCGTGCCTTGTCCAAGTTAAAAGTATTTTTGGCAAGCTTTTCGATGAGATTTGGAGCAAAATTATGTGAAACGAATAAGAATTCAAACTCATATGATTTTGTATTATAACTGCATTAACTAGTACTAATCCCCTGAGATTTACTAACACGGTGGTCTTTCATAAGTTCCCGGGTCTTCTCTACATCACCCCAACGGTTAACTCCAGCATAAATATTCGACAAAAGCACATAATTTCCACTGTTTTCCGTTTCTAGCCCCAACAAATGTTTTAGCGCAGTTTCACCCCTCTCCAAATCATTGTGGATTTGAGCTGACCCAAGAAACGATCTCCACAACATCGCATTCGGCTTCATTGGCATGTTCTCGATGAAATCTTCAGCTTCTTCCAACCTCCCGGATCGACCCAGTAGATCAACTAAACACCCGTAATGCTCAACTTTAGGCTCGATCCCATAAACCGCTTTCATCGAGTGGAAAATCTGAAGACCATCCTCGACTAAACCGGAGTGCGAACATGCCGATATCGTCACCACAAAAGTCGCTTCGTCCGGGATCAATCCTTGAGAGATCAAGCTCCTGTACAATTTAATAGCTTCTTTGCCAAACCCGTGAACTGCTAAACCTCGAATCATGGCATTATAACAAGATGCGTCTCTGTCACGCATTTCGTCGAACATTTGGCGCGCGAAACTCAAACATCCGCATTTTGAGTAGAAATCGATAAGCGAAGTTCCAACAAACTGGTTAAGAGTCAGATTATTCTTCAAGAGATACACATGAGCCCATACTCCTCCACGAAACTCACCCAAATTCGCACAAGATTTGATCAAAGCTACGAGAGAAACCTCGTTAGGCCTCACAAGCGAGCTTCTATGCATATCAACAAACAATCTCAAAGCCTCCTCCGATAAACAGAGACCACTCTCGCTCTCTCCGTCGCCGGAATTCGCGTACGCAGCGATAAGGGTGTTCCAAGTAGCCAAATCAGGTCCTTTAATCCGATCGAACAGAGATCTAGCTGCTCTCAGTTTCCCGCAATTAGCGTAGAACCCAACCAAAGCAGCTTGCACAAACCGATCATGATTAACCGGTTCGATGAGTTTCAACACATGGGCATGAAGAGCTCTGCCATGGCGATGCCACCGTGTGTCAAAGCCAGAGGCTTTGAAGAGAGAAGGGTAAGTAAACTCGTTGGGTCTGACAGAGACGGATCTAAAAATCTGAGCGTATAGAGAAAACGCGAGATGGGTTTGAGAAGATTGGTGATTGGAGACGATAGAGGAGATGAGAGTGTTGTAGAGGAAGACGGAAGGGTTCGCGATTCTGCGGAAGATTGAGAGTGCGTAGGATAAGCAGACGGTGGAGGATAAGAGAAGGAGCTTACTGAGAGGAAATGTGTGGTGAGAGAGGCCGATTGTGAGGAATTGGGCATGGATTTGCTTGAGGTTTTCTAGGGTTTTGCATTTTGATATTAGGTTTAAGCATCGATGATTGTTGCTTGTGCTTGGAGATGTCATATGCAACAAAAAGAAGACGCCAAGTTATTTCAGCTTTTCCAAAGTTTCTCAATTTTTGAATTTGGGAAGAAGATCAAATTAGCTTTGACGTATAAATACTACAGGCCTAATTTGGTTACTTATTATAAGCCCAATAAGGTTTCATTAACATATTATGAGCCCATGTTATCCTTTCTCAATCATCATATGATTCATATTCATTAGAAGAATTCGATGTGCATATTCTCTTGAAGCTAAGTGTTAGCTGTGTCACATGTTAAAGTGCAAGTGATACAATTAACAAAAAGAAAAAAAAATTATGAGGCAGTTCGAATGGGTTCAATTTTAGTTTGATTTCATTTAATTCGGTTTAAATGTACGGATTCTTGGAGATCCGATCAAATTAGAACAATACAGAGAAGTATTAATTCGGTTTGATAGGAAATATTTAAGACTTTGAAATTTGATTAATTGCAGTGGATACGACAAACGAATTTGTTTGCGGACGTAATTTCTTTTTATTAGTTGTTTTGTCTGCTGCCAATCGGTTTTGATCATTGGTTTGCAATGTATATTGTATGCCCCAAACAATATAATAATCCAATTCGCAAAATGATTAGTCCAATTCCATTCTCTACAACCATCCAAAACCTATGTGTGTATTCTTCAATTTGGTTTAGTTTTTTATTCTATTTCTTTGGTTTTTGGTAAAATTATTTTTCTTTGGTTTGATCTGGATAACTTAAATTTAAATTTAAGAAAAATGGAGAAGCAAGTAAAGGTTTCTTTGGAACACATCAAAGTTTGTCCCTATAACAAGACAATCCCACCTTTCCTCATCTCCAATAAAAAAAGAAAAAATCATGCATATAATATCTCCTTTTTATCTTGATTTATTCTTTTAATAGCAATAATTTCTATGCAGATGTGAGACTGATAATTCTTTTTGAATACCTTTAGTGAAAATGATGCATCAAATCTTCTTTCACTAGAGTGCATCTCCACACATGACCCAATATATATTAATATATATATATATATATAATATAAAGAACAATTCTCCATCGCTAATACCCAAAATCTCTGTTCATGCATCCTTTAATTATTTGTTTTTGATCTCTATTTTGTTGGAGTATTCAAAATAGAGTGATCATATCCAAAATAGACATCCCTAACCGTTAATTATTTGCTTTAAATCTCTATTTTGTCGGAGTATTTACTATAGTCATGTGTCTCATCTCCAGACATGAGCTAATTAATAAAGAAAATCAAGAAATGAGCAATTCTCCATTTCTAATACCTAACATCTCTGTTCATGAGCTAGTCATAGCGTTAGACATACATTCACTTAAAAAAGCCAATAAATCAATATTAATTGGATTTTAACTTCTCGGTATACATAAATCGTAAACTTAGTCAAACTGCCATGATACTCGGTATCTTTTCCTGAATTTTCAAGAATATGTTAAGTGAATTTTAAGATTGTGTAAAAAAAAATTCAAAAAGTAAACATCATATCATTTCTTGACAATCCATCTCATATTCTCATGTACTATATTGTAAGAGTGTTGCTCAAAGACAACTATACGACAAAGTCTGGATTTATACTCACCATTTGTTAAATGATTAATAATTTTTCCAATTTTTGGGCACTTTCAATTACATTTTACGTTAATAATGTTTTGATGATTTATTTAGTCTTTTTATAAAACTTGTTCAAAATTTTGGGAACAGAAGTGCACTTTGGGGTGCTTTTCACAATAAAAAGCAAAAAATAGGACTAAGATCAGAGATGATAAAAAGACAGAACCTCTGTAAAGTAACTTGTATTAATATTATTTTACTTTATTTTAGTTTTTTTTATGGGTTCTCATCTCTTTGCTTTTCAAATTCACAACAAATAAATAAATGTAGTTTGATTCCTAACTATGCTCTATTCATGTTTCTAGAATAACCATATAGTTGGCGACATTAGCAAGGAAAATTATCAACGTTTTCGACAGTAAAAAAACAATTAAAAGATGTAAACAAAAACTAGTAAAAGCAGTTGTTGATAACGAATAAATCAACTGGGAAAAAAATTTGTCTTGAAAACTACCCGTTGATATAGTCATATAGGTAGAGAGTTTTACAAAGTTTTTATTATTAAAAAATAAAGTAGTGTAATAACCACAATATTTACCTTTTATTTGTTAATCTTTAAAAGCAAAAGCTAAAGGGGAGTGACACAAAAGCTATAGTGGCAGATTTGCAGATTATACACCGTTTAGGCCAGCTCTGACATCTTTAAATATTTTTACTCTCCACATTTACATTTTTTTTTATCTCTTCTTTTAATTTCAGTTCACACTGTAAATTTACTGTTATTAACTTATCATGCATTAAACATTGCAATTGCTTTCATCTTACTGACCACTGGTAAAAAGAAAATTTTGTCGATAGAAAATGTCGGAAGAAGTATTGATAAGCAGTTAAATAATCAATTTAAACTAACTTTTAATTGAATTTGATTTGGAGTGTAAACTATGAGTAAAGGTATTTGTGTAAATCGTTAGACTAAAGTTCTAATCCAATTCTAACTATTTTTACTGCATATTTCCACCTCGTCAATTACTGAATATTCTGTGCAACATTTTTCGATATTTCTGTTTGTAAAACTCAGCGATTTAGATTTAGAAATAAACCTTAGTTTAGTGAATAAAAAACAGTAAAATAAAACAATTTTACTCCAAACGTGCAAGATTTATCGTGCTTGTCAAGTGTGAACTTTCCAAGAAGCAATAAGAAATTAGGGCACCCATAAAAAGATATGGAATTTCCCCCAAAGTTTGCTTTAATCATAGATTAAATGTCTATTTTGTCGTTTTTCAAAACTTAATAAGCAAATAAAAATAAGTAACATGATCATTGTAAATCAAACCATTTTAATACATTAGAACTCCCATCTCTTCCTATAATCATAACGTTTGCTTAATTTGTTAACGATATATATATATATATATATATTGGCCAATTTTTTTGTAAGACCATCTTTATCCCAGAGAGATGGGTCCGTTTCTAAACCATTTTTTGCAATAAAATATTCAGATTCAGACCCAAAAATGTTGAAGACGATTCTTAAATATGGACGGTTGGAAACGTTTCTAATAACGGGTAGAATTATTTTTTTTTAGAAACCTATTCTGGTTTCTAGCAATGTTTAGAGCATCTCCATTAGTGTTACCCAACATGGATCTCTTAAGATTAGTTTAGTAATTTTTTTAGGATGAGAGAAAAGTATAAGAAACTCCTGTATTTTTGATGTCCATTAGTAACTGTATTTATGTTTCTTAGGAATAAAATAATAATATTTTTGTAAATAAATAATTTCACTAATTTTTTTGGTTTTTTTAATATTATAACATATTAAACTTAAACAAGTGGTTATTTATTTCATAATACTGAAATTTTAAATATAATAACATATTAAACTTTAATAAGTAGTTATTTATTTCATAATACTAAAATTTAAAACATACAAATTATTGAAATTGAAAACATAAAACGATTGCTTCTAATTGGTAGAACCACCAAATTTGTTCCAAATATGCTACATCAGATCAGCTTTCAAACGTTTATGTATTTGTTTATCACGAATTTCATTACGAATGCTGATCATATTGCTGATATTTGTAGGCATATCCGTAGAATACATCATATCAACTTGCGATGATCTGTTTTCGTCTGGTTGTTGGAATCCTGATATATCATGCAGATTGTGGTTATCTCGTTCGTTTTCGACAATCATATTGTGTAATACGATGGATGCCCTCATGATCTTCCCAATCTTTTGCTTATCCCAGATTAGTGCTGGATTTCTAATAATGGCAAATCGAACTTGGAGAACTCTGAAAGCACGCTCGACATCTTTCCTGACGGATTCTTGAACTGTAGCAAACAACATTGCTTTGTCATCTTGTGGAAGGTTAATAGACTGTATAAAAGTTGTCTATTTCGGATAGATACCGCCAGTAAGGTAATAAGGCAACTTATAATTGTGACCGTTGACGGAGTACTTCACTTTCGGAGCTCGACCTTGTAAACGATCATCAAACAAAGGTGAGCGGTCAAGAACGTTTATATCGTTTAGGGTACCTGGAGGCCCAAAGAATGCGTGTCATATCCAAAGATCGTATGATGCAACAGCTTCTTATACGGTTGTCGGTTTTTCTGAACCACGGGTATATTGGCCTTTCCAAGTGGTAGGACAATTCTTCCATTTCCAGTGCATACAGTCAATGCTTCCTATCATCCCGGGAAAGTCACATGCCTCTCCAACATCGAGTAGGTGTTGTAGATCTTCTGGTGTGGGTCTTCTTAGGTACTCATCTCCAAACAAGTCTATTATGCCTGCAGTGAAATTTTCCAAGCATAAAATTGCGGTAGATTCACCTAATCGGAGATATTCGTCCATTGCGTCTGCCGCAAAACCATATGCCATCATACATATTGCTGCGGTACATTTCTGCAGTATTGATAGCCTAAGCGACCGGTAGCGTTCCGTTTTTGTTGAAAGTATGGAACATCTTCAGATAGCCTATCCACAATCCGCATGAACAATGGCTTGTTCATTCTAAAACGGCGTCGGAATATATGTGGAGGATAGGTTGCATCTTCCGTGAAGTAGTCGTTCTATAACCGGATGTGACCTTGTTCCCGTTCTCGTTCAATGTATGCTCTTTTCTTCTTCTTCTTAGCTGTTGGAAGACGCTCTCTAATTTCTTCATAGGCTTCCTCGAATTTTTGTTCAAATAATTCATCAAAAGCTTCATCAAGGAAGTCATCAGAATCATTGTTTGATGAAGATGCCATGGTTTGTGGATTTTGGTTGGTTTAGTGTGGATTAAGAAAGAATTTTTGTTAAGAACTTGTGGAAAAGAGAAGTAAAGAGAACATGAAAGAGAATAAGGAGAATGTTTGTTAAGAGAATACGAGTGCAAGAGAATAATGAGAAGTAAAGAGAAGTCTGGACTAAGCAAGAATGTTTGTTAAGAGAATACGAGTGCAAGAGAATAAGGAGAAATGTTTGTAAAGAGAACGTGAATGATTGCTCGGTGTAATAAGAATTGTAGTCATCAGCTTATATTTATAGGAATGACAATATTCTAAAAAATGTGGGCTACAAAATTACATTGGCGATAAAAAAATGTGGTGTCCAAACCACTAGTTTACATTACAAACACTCGTGACAGAAGACCCCAAAATTTGTGTTCCCAAACCCCAAAACAAGCTTCCTTGTGCCCACTTAAAATCGTGACAGAAGACCCCAAAAATTGTGTTGTCAAACCCCAAAACAAGCTTCCTTGTGCCCACAAACGCATTTCTCCAACTCTCGTGACAGAAGACCCCAAAACTCTTTGTGCCCACTTAAAGTATTCTTCGAAGACTGAAACAGAAAACAAAAGTCATCAAGTAATTCCAATAATACAAGTAACAAACAAGCTTCCAACACATCATTGCAATAATTAAACTCAAACAACTTATGAATCCGTAAGAAACAAGGTTCCACCAAATCATTGCAACATTAAATACGATCCTTAACATAATAAAAAACTTGTAATTTGACTCATCAAATTATCCTTAAAAAAAAACAGGTTACGATAGTTGCTACATTAAATAAGAAACAAACAAGGTTTGACTTATCACATTATCCTTAACATAAAAAAAAAACTAGCAACGAGGTCATACATAAGATAGTGGTTAAAAAACGGATCAACCCAACAACTCATTAATTAACTTGGTCTTCAGGGCATCCTCGATTTCAGATAGTGGTTCAGTCTTCGCTAATAGATTGTCGAGGGTTTTGTGTTTAGCAAGCCTGGCCTTCATCTCCAAATCCTTCTGCTTACACTCCCATAAGCTATCAAAGTCTTGACGTGCTTTTCCTTCTTCTTTCCCACAGTTTGTATTCTTTGCTTTTGCCTTGGCTGCTTTCACACCCGGTGGTCGCACTTCTGATACATCATCTTCATTGCTTCCTCCAACGGTGTTGCTTACTGACTGAGCCGAAGTTGGTTCACCAAAATTCTTCCGTTTTGAGTGTCCACTGTCTTTGAGAGAGGATGATCTACACCATTTCTGATTGTGTCTTAATTCCCTCCAAGTGTTTTCTAGGCTGAACTTCACCATGTGATTACTGAAAAATATCTCATGCGCAGCTTTCATGATGTCGTTCTCACTCTGGCCGCTGGACTTCTCCTTCGTAGTTGCCTCATAACATCCGACGAACTTGCACACCTGGTCATTAATCCTACACCAGCGTTGCTTGCATTGCCCTATTCCTCGGCTTGGCTGACCTGCAAGCTGTTTGAAGAGTTATAATACGCGATTATGCGTTTCCAGAAGAATGCGGCTTTCTGGTCATTCCCAACCACCGGGTCTTTACTAGTATTGAGTCAGACACTTATGAGAATGACATCCTCCTTTGGTGTCGACTTAGTTCTTTGAGCCGTTTGCTTAACTACTGGGCTTGGTTCATCAGAAGTTGGTGTGCTGAACACAGGAACTTCTGATGATCCAAGATCAATGACGTGCGAGAACCCTTCATTACCAATCTGACTCGTTAAAAGGTTTACAAAACCTTCGGTTGGACCATAATGGTTTGAGGATTCCATTACGGACTGGATTTAGTGTTTTAGAAGAGATTTTGAGAGATAGAAGTTTAGAGAAATTTGAGAGAAAGTAGTTTAGTTTTTAAGTTTTCAGTTTTTTAGAGATAAAAGTTTATGGACTGGGTTTAGTGTTTTAGTTTAACGTTATATGATCTTGCGGAAGCCATTTACTATGCAGTTATTATCAACCTAACATATGCATTAGACCGTACATTGCAGTTATTATCAACCTAGCCTATGCATTGAACTCTACAGGCATTTATCACAGACCTAAGCCGTAACTTACAAGTTAACTAAAGAGGAAAAAGTTGACTAACCTTGCATAAAAAGAGTCGGTTGAAGCTTCGACACCATATTTCCATTGTCTCATCATTTACCCTCATAAAACAAAACAAAATAATTATAAAATGTTAAAACCTATCGTAATCAAACTACACCCACAACCTATCAAAGGAAGCTTTAACTAGTTCACCTTACAAAAAGCATCATAGCATTTAACACAAAGCAAGATTAAATGGAAACTCAACCGTAAAACAAACAACCATTTATCACAAAAAGGTCACAGCATAGCAAATCCATCAGATGGTCATTACAAGCAAACCGGTTTCTTAAATTGACTTAAACAATGTCGTTTTGAAAAGAAATTCCACGTAGGGAAATTAACTTAAACATCTTCAAACTAGAGACTAGATGTTACTTACTCAACAGCTACTTAAACATGTAAGTGATAGCCGTAAAGACACATAGCAAGAACAACATCATGAAGCTGTCACCTTGGTTGGAATTTTGTTCCTTCAGCACTCTGACCTGTTCTTGAAGCACTCTGACCTCGTCTTGTAGGTCTCCAATGCTGGCCTGCATGGCTTGACGGTTGTCAATAGTCAACACCGATTGCCTATGCTGTTCAAGCTTCCTCTCGAGAATACCGATATGCTCAGTCACCGCATCGTCCCACCATTGAAATATATGTTCACCACTGCCATGTACATGATTTAGAATGAAATCAAATTAACTACACAAACAGTTAATCTAAACAAGTAAAAGAGACATGATATTGAACCTTACCTCATCATTCCACGCCGGGCAAGTATAGTACCTACGCCCTACTATCGCTGTTGTTGAACTGGTATAAGTCTCAAGTCTTGTTGCTCGGCCACAGAAACACTTTGAAGGGATGCCATAAGTAGCATCTGCTGGTCCTTCGGATGAGCTCTCGCTATAGCTAATAGGCATTACCTGACATAACCAAGCAAACACACTCAGATAACTAATTCACATAGCTCATTCAAACCCAGATAATCAAAGTAAAGCTAACACAGATTTACAGGATCAATACAAACAACCAATATACCGCTAACATATACCAACGAAGTAAACCTAACCAGTAAATGATCGATAACATAACATGAATCTTTCATTAATCTCTTTCAATTACACGCTAATAGGCAAAACAGAAAAGATGAACACAATCGACCGATCAAACTCAAAAAGATGATGAAGACGTTCAAACTCAAAAACATATGATGGACACAATCAAACTCAAAAAGATATGAAGAACACAATTCAAACCACTTAATCGCCTACTGATCAGTCGAAAGACCTAAACACCGATATCATAAGCCAAATAACACACATTTGAACCAAAAACATATTCAAATTTTTTTGTTTTTTTCCACAAACCCTAATTTCACCAAATCGATTAACCTAAATAGCCTTTAATCGGCGTGAATTAGTGCTACGAAGTCACGCACACACGTATTGTGAACGAAATTACCATAATTCAATTCAATTAAACCCCAGCAATTATTTCCCCCAAATCGACGAACCCTAAGTTTTTCCTCCAAATCGACGAATCTCGACAGAAAGCAATTACGTGAATAGAATCTTACATGCTTGTCGATTGATGTCGTAATTAGCAGAGAGATCACCACGCCGCGTGTCCGAGCTATGATTTCAACTCCGGCGACGAGAATCGCCTTCGAACGAGAGAGAGAAGTGAAAGAGTCTTCGATTTTTTTCTAAGTCCAAAACGAGGAAAATGATTTCTGAAAGCAAAAATTAAAAATATTAAAATATTAAAACTTAAAAAAAAACAGCCATTCGCAAATCAACACCTGGCGTAAGAAACAGTCTCGTTCGTGTCTTACCTAAGGAGTGATCCGTCTAAAATTGGGCTTAAATTTTTTTTTTAAATGTCAAATACATAGATTTTTGGGCCACATCTTAGGAAAGAGACCCCAATAGAGCTGCTCTTAGCAATACAAATACAATCTCTACACAGTTTTTAAACACAGTTTTCAAAACAAAACAAATAATAAAATATGCTGAAGAAACCTATATGAGTCTTTGGGTTGAGGATGCTCTAAGGCTCTCTCTTCACCGATTAAACACAACATGTACAGTCTTACAAATACGAGAATGTAACTGTTACGAAAATGCGAACAATGCTAAGGTATTGTTAAATATAAGCTTTATATAAACAATTAAATCCTAGGTTTGCGTCTATTTAAATGATTAAACTAAACAGCGCGTTTGTTGACAAATATATAAATTTACCATGATTAAAAAGTCGCACGCGTGCATTGAGCATGATAGGCACCCGATCAAAATTATGCCAAGAATATATTTTGTTCAATTCTGCCAACACAAGAATATATATTAAAGAGATTTAAGGCCGATAAGAATTCTTATAATGCCATAATCGTTATTGTTATAAAATTTCGTATAAATCGGTGTATTTTTTAAATGTAACTTTTACCAAGCTTGAAAAAACCAAAATTTTGTTAAAGATTTTCACCAAACTTTGCAAAATTTGCTGATTAGTTTGTGTAATCAGTCGAAGGACAATAGTTTTTTTTTTTGCGCCAAAAGGGGTTTCGCGCAATGTTCTGCATATATTTCACATTTTGCATGTGTGGCAGTTTAATAAAGTTTCGATTTTAAAGTTAGTTTATAAAAATCTATTTTCATGTTTAAATTATTTTGGATGGAAATTCAAAAAAAAAGTTTACATGCAGTTGATTATAAGGATTCAAAAATGTTTTGATCGAATCCATTATGCAAAATGTTCGTTTTGAATATAGATATTTTAATTATTTCTTCGCATCGTTCTATAGATAAGATTTTTTTTTTCAACGACCAAATATATAAGTACAGTATATGCTCTAAATTGTCCTTATATTCGTTTTAAGGGCAAAGCAGCAACACACAGAAAAGGGAAGTTATGTTTGACCCAATATTGGAATTTTCTAAAAATACAATTCTAATGGTATATGCGAAACACATGCAAAATATACGACTCCCGATTTTTAAATGTTATCTTTTGAGTTATAAAAATCACAGTTTTGTCATCTTTCTTGAATTTTTAAAAAATAAGAAATAAAACAAAACATGCACACTCCGAAACAAACCATACCCATAACCCTATAGCTACCACCATGACCAAACTAACCCATATCATATTATATCTCTACACGCATATACACATTTTTAGATTCAAAGGCATGTCATATGCATGCGTATATGTGTGACTTGTTTGAAAAATATGTCCGAAAGCTGAATAAATATCGGGGGTATTGGTTAAATACTTTTTGTCATCTAGATTTTTGATATTTGAAATCAAATATTACAACAAAACCGCTAAAGGTAAAAACTTATCCGGAGTCTATAATCTAAAAAAAAATAAAAGATGACATACTACACCAAAACAAAGAAGACAAATTCGTTCCAAACAAAATATAAATATGACAAAACTAATGACAATTAACAATACCAAACAAACAAAAAAGAGAATATGTGAGCCAAAACGGAAACAGAATAAGAGGAATGCAGACGAATATTTTGTCTTACTAAACTTGCAGAAAAACCCCGAATGAACTTTAATAAAAGCACCTTCAACAAGATTTTACTCATTGACAACAAAAAAAGATTGGTTAAACATTATATGACACTTATCATTTACAAAAAAAATAAACAAATCAGTAAAATGAAACTTTTAGGACGTGTAAAACATAAATAAAGGAGTGATGCACAAATTCTTTCTATAGATTTTTTCGAATGAAAAGCTTTTCTTCTTCTTTTGTTAACAAAAAAAAAATAGATAGTAACATAATGTGTATGCTCCATAATTACATATACGGATCATCGAAATAAGTTGCAAATTAATTAGCAGAGTAATCATTATTTTCTTTAAAAAAAAAAAGAGTAATCATTATTTTCTAAAAGAAAAAATTTGGCCATTTTAGCGGTTTACCAAAAACTAGCAATATGCACAATTTGGGTGAGTTAACGTAATTGGGAATGTTTATTTAGTATACCAAAAACTCAGCACTTCCAAACTTGTTTTTGTGAATTCGACAATTGATTATTATTCGGATCAGATTTTAGAACGAACATATGCTAACACCCGAAAGAAAAATCAGTATAAACTCTCTTTAATGGACGTTGATATGATATGCATATCATGCAGCATAAGTAAGCTCAAGACAACTTCTAGGCACTACAAGAATACACGAATTTAGCGTAGAAAACGTCGGAAAATAGTCATAAATCGGTAATTTACGTCTGATTAGCGACTAAAATAAGTAATCGCTAATTACCAAAGTCGTGAAATAGTCATAATTTTGCGACTAATTTACGACTAAATTGTGTGTGATATAAACTGACGTAAATTAGTCGTAAATCCGTCGGCAATTTTAGTGACTATTTTACGACTACGTTTGAGACGCTCTTACGATTAAAAGGCAGTCATACTCTTAATATCAAAGTAGTAGCAATTTAGTTGTTAAATAATCAGTCGTTATTTAGACGTTAAATAAACGACCATTTTATGACTGTTTTGTGATATATTTACCTACTTTTTGCGACTGTTTCACTACTGCTGTCGATAAATGAACAGTACTTTGTTGCACTTTTACGACTGAATTGTGACTGATCTATGACCTTTTTCCGACAAATTTAAGACTGTTTAGTGACTATTTTGATCATCGTTTTTGCAATTTGGA